TACTACACGCTCCTTATGGCTGCTTCCAGATCTTATTCTTACAAAATCTTAGCTCCCCAGGAAACATGCCAGCAGCCTGTCCTGGGCTTCTATCCTCTTCTCTTCCCTATCTATCCTCGCTCCTCAGGAGGTCGTATTCAGTCCCATAACTCTAAATTTATAACTGCAGCTGACCTCGCCTTGAACTCTACCCTTATACATCTGCGTGCCTACTTGACAGTTCCATGTGCATGTCTGACAAGCATTACAAGTTCAAAACCAAAGTCCTGATTTCCCTGCCTATACCCTCTCACCCAAACCACCTCCTTCTAACCACTTCTGCCTCATTCAGCAAATGACATCACTACTTACCTAGATGCACAGAGTCAAAACCCAAGAGTCAGCCTTTATTCCTTTCTTTCCCTCACATTATAGTCAATTGATCAGCTACTCTTATTGGCTCCAACTTAGAAATATGTCTGGAACTCGAGCACTACTTCTCAGTCTGGTCTAAGCCACGTGGTAGACGTCTGCATCCCCGTTTCCCACATGAGCCCGCTTCAGTCACTTCTCCTTACATTGGCCAGCACGTTCTTTTAGTACCCGGGCTTTCTTTTTCAAGTGTGAAATGCACATATCATCGGTGTATAGGAAAATGAGTTTTGACAAATGAATACATTAACAGAACCAGCATCCAAAACAAAATACAGAACACTTCTCTCACTCCAGAAAGTTCCTTTGTGCCCTGCACAGTCACTTCCCCTATCCTGAAGGCACCCCATTCCAATTTCTATCACCGTAGACTAATTTTTTCTTTTCAAGAATTGCATATAGAATATTTATCTATTCTTTTATGTGTGGCTTAATTTACTCAACATTATATGTAACAATAGTTGCTCTACAAATGTTAATTGTTTTAACTTCACTTCAGTCTTTGGAGAAGAATTTGGTTTTCTTCCTCTGAATTTCAGAGCACAGAATTTTGAAAAGCGAGAAACCCTGGCGTTGCAATAGAAGTATTTGCTGTTGTGAGAAACACTAACTAGAAGGAAAAGATAACACAGCAAAGAGGATGGAGACGTAGGAAAACAGCCAACGACCCAAAGCCCCAGCGATGCTGTGAACTTCTGGAGCTAGAAAGCAGGATATTTATTGATGGACTTTTCAGTTTCTTGAGCCAATAGATTCTCTCATTTGCTTACGGCACTTTGGGTTCTTATTTCTTTTTGTTTTTGTTTTTTAAAATTGAAAGAATCCTAACTCAGAAGTGACAATGAAAGCCATAAGCCAGGGCAACTAAATACAAAATCAAACTAGTTGAGCCATAGAACTATAAAAGTTCAGAACTGGACAGGTGCTGTTGTTGGGTCTTTTGTTGTTGTTGTTTATCTTATCTTATTTTATTTTATTTTATTTACTTTATTTTATTTTATTTTTGCAGTACCTTAAAAATTTTTCTTATTCAGAAGACTAATGAATGAAGCAGGTTATGGTCTTCAGTTCCTTTTTATTAAAGGCTGCTGCTTTTATATCCAACATTGGTATACCAAAGCTCATAAGAACATTTCTGCATCTTCTGCAAAATTGCTACACAAAACACTGTATGTTTCGCAATGAATTTTCTCTTATATAAAAGAATAAAGTTTTAGGATTCAGTAGTAGGGGATGGTTTCTACTTTTTATATAATAGTGCACTTCTTTTTATCAACAATAGCAACTTATAAGTCTTACAGAGGTTGTTTCTTTTGCCTTGGCTGCCAGAAGCTTAAGCCAAATTAAATATTCAATTGCTGGAACCATTCTGTCCAGGCTATTAGTACAATTATTCCCCCATCTTTTGCTACATGATGTGTGAACTTCTTTATTTTTAACTCTCCTACATGTGTGCTTTTCATAGTAAGTAAAGCAAATACTATATAGGCAGAATAGATATGATAAATTGGTAGGAAGATAGATATGACACATAGATAGGTAGATGGCAGGTAGGTAGGTAGATGATGGATGGATGGATGGACGGATGGATGGATGGACGGATGGATGGATGGACGGACGGATGGACTGACAGATGGACGAACAGACAGATGGACGGATGGACAGGTGATAGAGATACAGTATCCTTTCCAATCATACACATGGCATTTATTTTTCAAGTTAAAATTTTTTCAGCACTAAAGATGCTGGATCCTTATTCTAAGAATAAGTTTCCACATCTATCCTGTTTTCTCGCAGTCTTCCATCCCTCTTACCTAATCCTTCATTACATCCCACCTCCAGAGACATAAGCAACAAATCCAGGTCATATAAAAGGTCAAGCTTGAAGACACTTCACAGAAAGAGAATAAGTTGGATAAAAATCCTTAGTTATTCTTGAAAACTAGGGGAGGATTTTTGGGTCATAGATGTTTTCTTTTTCACCCCTGCATTATAATTAGGAGAGAGACTGAGTTGTTGGTAGTGCAGCACGTTCTTCTCTAAGATGTGCCTGTGATACGCTTTCTTCTTTTCTTTTTCTCTGGAAATTTGGGGGACAGGAAGGAAAAAGGCTTTTGCGCTCTGCTCCCCACTCTCTTTTCCTTGAATCTTTCATTACAGGGAGCTTGCCGGGTGGGGAGGGCTTTGAAGCAGTACTTTATTCAATCTGACTATCCACGTTCTAGGAAATCATATTAAACATAAGGTCAATGACTAACAAGAGCTTTCTGAACAGCTGCTCTGCTGACAATTTGGAGGATTGATTTCATCATTTGGTTATTTAAGCTAACTATACAAAAACACTTCAATTCAATTGGCCCGGAAGTTCCAAACCATGTCCTCATTTTCTCAGAGACGGATAAGGAAGATGGCTTGCTCAATATATCTTTGCTCAGAGTATCGTTCTTTGAGGATTTTTTGTTTTAATTTACCGTTAAAAATATACACGTGGTCTTTCCCATTATTGGTTTCTCCCACTAGTCCTCTTTGCCTCTGATTTCATATCTAGCAATGCCATTTCCTTACTAGAAACCAACACAGCCCCTGGTGCTTTCAGGTGGACTCCAGTGTCTCAGCCACGGTTTAGTGCACCAGGGCCAGTATTCTGCCCGGCTCCACTCCATGCCCTGCCTTACACACTCCCTCTCCAAGTCTGGCCATATGAAACTTCACGCCATCCTGGAACTCACATGATCTCTTACTGGACATTCCAGGACAGTGTGTCTCCAACTCTTCTACTGGCCCACTCCCATTCTTCCTTCAGGAAGCCCCCAACTTACGCCTCCTCCCTACAGGCTTTCCAAACCCAACAGGAGGTTTGGGTACTTCACCCTGCTTCCTCAGTAACTGTAGTGATTCCTATTTTAGCATTACCTCTTTACCTGACCACTACCCCCCACCAAGCTCCTTGAGGTCAGGGATGGTGATTTATTCACCTATAGGTGCCTATTTCCCAAGAGGCAATTAGGAGGTATTTAATAAATATCTGTTGAATAACAGAATTGAGTGCATTGATCAGTCTGGCATGAAAAGAAACCTTAGCAGCTTAATGCTCTCGAAACTCCCAGAAAGTTGTTATATCTTCTGCTGATTTTTCTCAGTCCCTTGAGATATACTTTTTAAAAATCATTATGTTGATTTTTTTATTTAACATATTTTTAGCTTCATTGAGGTATTATTGACAATTAAAAATAATTGCAATTAAAAATTGTATGTGTTTAAAGTATACATTTGATATATGTACTTTGTGAAATAATCACAATCAAGCTAATTAACATACCCATCACCTCGCATAGTTACCATTTTCTTTTCTTGTGTGTGTGTGTTGTGAAAATACTTAAGAGCTACCCTTTTAGCA